CAGAGAGTGTCAGATTCTCTTGTTTTTTCCTCTGAGCGTCTAGACAGGTCACCTGAGGACAGTCGCTGGAAAATAGTTCCTTTGCTCACGCAGCAGCCAACGAGGGACGTGCCCTAATTGAGTGATTGGAATGAAAGATGAATACAATTTGAATAACTTTCTCCTATGCAAACAGAGGCTAGATTTTATTCACCGTGGATGTGTCCCCGGGATGCAGCCGGGTGCTGTTGCGCGTTCAAGTTACATAAAGGTTTGATATACTAAGAACTTAGTAATTAGCGGGGGGGGGGCATAAGTGGACGTGAAACTACTTGTGGCGGAAAGTTTTTCTTCCTTTTTTTTTTTGTATATTTACTGCGCCCCCAGTAAAAGCAAAACAAGATACAAGGGTACTAGATGCAGAAAACGCAGACGTAGAGACCAAGATCTCTGCCCGATTGGAAAGAGGAATAAGGAGAAAGAAATAACTGAAAGTGTGGTACTTACCCCATTCCAGGATCAAGGAAGGCGTTTCCTGGACAAGCTGGGTTGAGCAATTTAAAGAATCCGACCTTCCAGAAAAGGGGGAGAAAGCATTTTCTCAGCCCTGTGGAGTAGTGCACGGATCCCGGAAGGGAAGTGGCCAGAGGTGCTGGGGTGAGATTAAAGAGCCAAGGCTGAGTGCGGAGTTGACAGGGGCCATCTCACAGAACCGGGCTAGCAATGTGCAGGGTTGCGGACTGGGGAAAGATCGACTTGGCTGGTACTAGGGGAAGGCTTGCATCTCAGTTTAACTTTCTCTTCTACCAATTGTTTCAACCCCACCACCACCACCACCCCTTTGGGGTTTTATTTTGTCTCTCGTATCCCAGGCTGGCCTGAAACTCACCATGTAGCCCAGGCTGGCATTACACTTGCTCCTCCTTCCTCCACCTCTCAAGTGCCCGAGTTGCTCGAGTTGAAAGTTTCTTTTTTTAGCAACTTGCTTGATTGGCTAAAGAGTTCTAGGGTCTTTGAAGTTCATTCTTTATTATATCGAGAAACAAGGGGGGGGGACGACACGCAAGTATCTGAAGGCAAACAGACTCCAAGCGAACCAAATCTAAGTTATTTGACAAAGTCACAAGTCTGTGTGTCCTGAGAGTTGGATGCACTTATGTAAAACAACTCCGAAAATGAGCCTCGACTGGTGCATTTCGGAGATATTCAGGTCAAGACCACATAGGAGCACCGTTTGAAAGCCTCTTAATAGGCCAGGCATTCGAAAAGATTGAAGAGATTAAACCTTGAGGCTTTGATATAAAACATTAGAACCAACCAGAAAAGAATTCTGCCTTAAGTGTGCCGTCAGGTCCCGGTTTCAGGAAACGGCATGCTGGAGCTTGTCCGGGGGAGGTGGCTGGTTGGGCGTTTATCTTCCCGACAACACCCTGTGTGGCCAATTAGAAACGCTGAGGGCGCCTTTAAAAGGCTTTCAAGCAACGAATGTCTCTTTCTTTCTCCGGCCCCATTATACTGCTTTCTGCCGGCGTAAAAGGCACATGCGTCAGAACCGCTGATGCAACCCGACGCTAATATCACGTTGCATCATCTGACCCTAGGTGTGGTGCTTCCAAAACTGGTTTTTCCTGAGGCCGTGCTGGAGAAGAGCACTCGGGGGGGGGATAACACCCACCAACTGGCCCTCTTCGGCGGGCGATAAAAGTGTTTTCTGCCACTACATGCCTCAGTGCCACACTATTTCAGACCCAGGGAAAGCCCGAGTGACTCCCCTGGCTGAGATGGGGGTGCAGACGCACACACTCATCCGCGAGGCATGTCGGCTGCTGCTCAGCTTACATAACGAGTGTAACAGTGAGGCGCACCTACAGGGCAAGCCGGGAGGGCTCCCTCCAACCACTACTCAAGCCTGGGAATCTGACTTCATTTTAGTTGAGCAGCTGCTCGTGGAGAGAAGAAAGGTTTAGAGCAGGGGGTGAAGAGAAGGGAGAGCAGGGACTGAGACTTCTAGGCCCTTCTCTGTGGGCACAGGTGACTGGCCTCCGTCAGTACGTGGAAGTATGGGCGATCTTAGTATAAGCCTTTTCTGCTGCTCCTCACTCAAGGTTGGACTCAGGGACAGCCGGAGCCCCCTCCCAGAGGTGTGTTTCCATCCAGCTCGACCTCAGAAAGCTCCCCGGCTAGTCAAGTCTCCAGTCCCATTTACATAAAAACGAAGCCAGCCACTAGTGGCAGAAACAGTTTCGTTTTTAGACCAGGTCGAAAGTATTCCAGGCTGGCCGTGAACTCACAGTGTAATCAACGATGCCCTTCAGCATCTGATTCACCCGCCTCGCCTCTGGAGCGCTGACACTACAGATATGGACCATCATAGTCCATTTGTGTGGTGCTGGGCTTCATATACGATAGACAAACACTCTACACACCGATCCACACAGCCAGCTCCAGACAGAAAGGAATTCTGATGGTCTGGGCAGGTCCAGTTGGACCACAATAGGATGCTATGCAATCTGCCAGTATGGTTGAACCAGGAAGCTAAAAGCTACTGGACCCTTGAATATGGCAGGTCCATTCTGCAATGATGTTATAGCATAAACACACTGGATTTGTTTGTTTCATTTGGGGTTTTTGCTATTGCTTTTTCCTTTGTTCTCAAAGCAGGGTTTCACCGTGTAGCCCAGCCTGGCCTTGAACTGGTATGTATTGCCTCACCTCCAGAATGCTGGTATCATGGGCTTGTACCACCATACCCAGCTTACACTACACTTGAAGACTCAGAGCAAACAAAACAAAGCCCCACGACAGATGTCATTAACAGTTTTATTATGTTAATGTGAGCACAATGGTGTGTAGTTATGTAGTCCCAGTTACTTGGGAAACTGAGGCAAGGGGGATCAGAAGTTTGAAACTAGGTTGGGCAAAATAGAGAGACCTCATATAAAAAGACAATAGATTTGGGGATACAGCTCAGCGGTAGAACACTTGCCTGGCATGTGAGAGGCTCTGGGTTCAATCCCAGGCAGACCCAGAACTAAAGGATAAGCTTGGTATGGCCAGCCTGGTCTATAGAGTGAATCTCAGATCAACCTGATACATACATACACCAGAGCCTGTCTCAAAAGTAAAGTGAAGCAAAATAGGGGCTGGAGAGATGACTCAGTGGTTAAGAGCACTGCCTGCTCTTCCAAAGGTCCTGCGTTCAATTGGCTCACAACCATCTGTAATGAGATTTGGTGCCTAACACTGTACACATAATAAATAAATCTTTGAAAAGAAAATAAAGAGAATGAAGCTCTAAAAAAAAAAAAAAAAAAAAAAAAAAAAAAAAAAAAAAAAAAAGACTGCCTACTGCTCTCAAATGGGTCCAGAGTTTGGTTCCCAGCACCTCACTAAGTAGCTCATGACTGCCCCTGAAAGTCTATCTCCAGGCTTAAAAATTAAAAATAAATCTATAACACTAACAAGCAAGGAACAACGACAACAACAAAAATATCGCAGGCCAGATGGCTTAGCGGGTAAAGGCTCTTACAGCATGATGACCTCATGAGTCTTGGAACCCATGCACAACCCATTTACATCCTACGTGTACACACAATCATACATTTAAAACATGTAAAGCCAGATAATACTTAAAATAACTTTCATTCCACATTGAAATAACATCTATCTAGGATTAATATACTAAAATATTCTTTTTCTTTCTTTCTTATTTATTTATTTATTTTGAAAGACAGGGTTTCTCTGTGTAGCCCTGGCTGCGCTGGAACCTGCACTGTAGACCAGGCTGGCCTTAAACTCAGAGGGCTGCCTGCCTCTGCATCCTGAGTGCTGGGATTAACGGCACAGCCACTGACTTGCATTTTCTTTTCTTTTTTGGGAGGAGTGGGGGGGGGGGGGAGACACATGCCAACAGGTTCTTGTGGAGGTCAGAGAACAACTTGCAGGATGCAGGAGTTGGGTCTCTCCTACCATGTAGTTTCCAGGAACAGACTTTAGGTCTTCAGGCCTGAAGGCAAGTGCTGTAACCCACTGAGCCTTCTCACCTGCCTAGGAAGTTCACGCCCACTGAGCTGCACTGCCTTTGCAAGCACAGCTGAAAAGCCAGTAGATTAATGAAAAAATGAAATAAAAGGAGGATGTGGCTACTCCTGAAGTATGGAGAGTTTTTATTGTAGATGTAAAGCGAAAACAGGCAGAGGGAAGAACCCCGCTGAACATGGCCCGTAGACTGAAACCAACCGTGAGAGGGGAGAGGGTCAGGGAGACCAGACAGGAGACCAGACCAAGAGACAGTGGCCAAGAGGTAAAAGGGCCAAAAAAGCTGCCACGTAGCCAAAAATGGCTGAATTATATAGAGAAGAGTAATTTGGGGTACAGCAGGTGCAGCCCAGTCTCTGGGCTGAAGAAGTTTAGGGTAGGGGGTGGGGTGCCAGCCAAGAGGAGCCTGTAACAGATAGGAATTGGGGGATGGTGGGAGAATCTGGCCACTAGGCCTGCTTTGATGTGTTAATAGGCATCTCAGCGGTTTGTCCCGGGTTTGAGACCTACACAGCCTTTGCAAGCGCCAACAACTCCAGTTGGTTGATCTGGAGTCAAGACTTTCTGCTTCCTGTCTGGCTTCCCCTGTTAGTAAAATGACAACATTGATCTGGGGGGGGGGGTTCCTTCTGAATTTACTATTTCCTCATACCCAGATCTGTAGGTATCGAATCCCTGTCCTAAGGACCTGTCCTAAGGGCTGGAGAGACGGTTCAGCATTTAGGACCACTGACAGCTCTTCTAGAAGAGCTGGTTCAATTCCCACCACTCACAGTGTGGCTCACAATTGGCTGTAACTCCAGTTCCAGGTGATCCAACACCCTCTTCCAGTCTCCTTGGGCACCAGAAGTGCATACCACATGGTGCACAGGCGTGCATACAGGCAAAACACCACACACGTAAAAATCATTTAATTAAAAAAACAAACTCTTCTATTTCTGACAGTGAGTCATGGAATTTTAGAATTCAAAAGGTCTTTAAATGTTACAGCTGGACCTCTAAGTCCCCAGCCTGGCAGCTATCCTGGGCTCAGCCTGTGGTTTTTCCTGCCGTTATCTAGTGAACGCCCAGGGCAGCTGGCATGCAGGAAGCTGTCTACATTTTCCTGCTGACCTAAATAATACCCAGAAGAAAGAATTGAAGCTCAGAGAAGCTCTTAGGGCTGCACAGCTGGCTGGTACGACAGGCAGGAGGATGGGAGCTTCTCAGCCCAGGTCAGGAAGCTGTGGTGACCCCGGGACCAGCAGCGTCAGCATCCCTTGGGAGTTTCTTAAAAGCTACCTTACTAAAACAGAAACTGCAGGGGCGGGAGAGATGGCAGGCACTTAAAAGCATGCATTGCTCTTCCCAATACCCACGTGGTGGCTGCGGCATGCACGTGGTGCACTTTCATACAAGGAGGCAAAATACCCATGCTCGAAAACTAAAGGCAATTCATAAATATTTGAAATAAAGAAAACAAGCTTCTATTTTTTGTTTGCTTCATTTTTAAATTTATCTTTATTTATTTTGAGATAGGGTCTCACTATGAATCCTTGGCTGGCCTGGGACTCACTTTGTAGACCAGGTTGGCATTGAATTCACAGAGATCTGCCTGCCTCTGCCTCCTAAATGCTAGAATTAAAGGTGGGCGCCACCATACCTGGCTGTTCATCATGATCATAATTATGATTTTCAGGGCAGGAGAAATGGCTCAGAGGTTAAGAGTACTGCTTGCTCTAGCAGAGGTTCTGAGTTCAATTCCCAGCGACCACATGGTGGCTCACAACCATCTATAATGAGGCCTGGTGCTGTCTTCTGGCATGCAGGCAGAACACTGTATACATACTAAATAAAAATAAATCTTTAAAAAATAATAATTATCATTATGATTTTAGCTGGGTGTGGTGGCACACTCCTTTACTCCCAGCACTCAGGAGACAGAGACAGGCTAATCTCTTTGATTTCCAGGTCAACCCCTGGTCTACAAAATGAGTTTTGGTATAGCCAGAGCTGTTACACAGAGAAACCCAGTCTCAAAAAAAAAAAAAAAAAAAGTAAATTCATAAATAAAAAATATTATTTAAATTAAAATATTTATTATTTTAATTTTATGTATATGAGGGGTTTTCCTGTGTTTATGTGCATGTTTGCATTACTCATAGAGGCCAGAAGAGGGTATTAGATTCCCTAGAACTGGAACTATAGACTTGTGAGCCTCCATGTGAGGTACTAGGAATCAAATCTGGGTCCTCTGGAAGATCAGTGAACTCTCTTAACTGCTGAGCCATCTCTCCAGCTCCCTCATCCTCATTGTCTTTTAAATAAATATGTACCTGTAGGCTGGCCTCCAATTCACCATGGTGGCAAGGGTGACCTTGAACTCCTGACCTTCTTGACTTTGCCCCACAACTGCTGGCATGATGGGTGTGCATCAACGTGCTTAGCTGATTTAATTCTCATGTCTGCAGTGATGGGGGTCCTGCACAGGGACTGAGACATTTTTAGCTTTTGATGTTAGCTGGACACTTGGTTAGGGAAGGAAGGAGGATCAGGGGTTCAAGGTCATCCTTGGCTGCTACATCCTGAGCTAATGAGGTCCTGTCTCAAAAATAAGAACAACAAAGAAGAAAAAAGGAAAAAGTAGGCAATGAAACAAACAAAAGGATGTACCCTATCACTGACCTACACTTCAGTCAGGAAAATGCATCTTAAACAGATATCCCAGGAGACTTTTCTGCTTCCAAAAGTCTGAGGAGTGTCACCTGCTTGTCCACTTCCCTCAAGGAAGATCCCACTGTCTATTTTCACCCTTGGGATGTCTCCCCCCAGTTCATGGAGAGGAGCTTTCAGCTAAAGGACACAGGACCCACGAAGCTGGCACAGTGAGGGCTCCAGGTTAAGCCAATTCAATGAGCATTTGCTGGCACCCTCGAGTCTGAGCTACATCCTGTTTTGAAGGTAAAAAAAAAAAAAGTCCCAAGGGTTGGAGAGGGCTCTTGCAGTCCTGCTACCTAGTCTTCCAGCATTAAGCAAGCACTTTGCAATTGTGCCCTGACAGGTTTTACCGTTTCCCTTTTAATAGAAGAGAGGCCAGGAGAAATGTGGAATGAGAAGGGGCTCTTCTGGGGAATCAAATGTAATTTCTCCAATCCGGGAAAACCTGGATCGAAATCAATTCAATCAACATCCGCGGTTAGTTTGCAGCCCTTCCTGACCCGAGTTTGGTTTCATGACGGAGCCACGATCTGCAGAATTGGTCTCTAATCAATAGCTCACCATCATTCTAGAAGACCATCCCCACGCAAGCTTTCAGGTAACAGACATGCTCTGTAGAGTCTATTTTCCCTGTCAGAGGACGGTACAGATACTTGGCTTTTTGTTTGTTTGTTTTTGTTTTTAAGACAGTAAG